ATATTTCTTGGAGTGTGTAGATACAAAATACTTGTGACATTATCGCGTCCAAGTGGCGTCCAATATTCAACAGAATGTACAAGCGACACCAAGTAAAAGATGATTTAACCTCTCGTTCTCGAATTGCGAGGGGGGGAGAGGCTTATCCCACCAGATAAAGATCGCCATTGTCGACCGATCTCTCCCGCGACACGAATCGCGATTCGCAAGTTCCGAGACATCCAACGGATTTAAAGCTTTTGCGGCGGGATTAAAGGTTACCCAGGGGTTAAGGGTCGAACGGTAGAGCCGAGTGCTACCCTCGTTGCATTAATTCAACACGACTACATACATACCGTACGGTACAACCACCGACGCCGTATATACGGGCGTTATTTTATTTCGTAATATTTTCAGGCGATAAATCTAAAATGCGTTTTTACGCGTTTTAACCGCCCGCTTAATAAATTGTATCCTCGTAACGATGATGAGAGAGAATCTTTCCGTCATTTAGAGCACGAAAAGCGTCGAGCTGCTCCTCGCCTCTCTTCCCCGCCCGCTTCTTTATTTCGATAATTAAATCTCTCTTCTGCATTGTCTACGATCAAAGCTCTCGGCCCTGTTTCGCTCGTTGAAGGAATAATAAAAGCACTTTTAATTTATATAATTTACAAAAAATCCAAATAAGAGGTTGATTTTCTTGATAAAACTACGACCATCCCCCCAAGGGGATTATCCTTTCGGAAATATCGCGAACGTTGCGTATATTTATGCAATATCCTTGCATAAATATCGTTAGCAATAGATTTCTCGCTATCGAAATATATAGGTATCCAGATATGAAAACTTTGAATTCTTCTTCCCAATCTCCTTTCTGCATCAAAAAACTCGATATTAAAAAAAATTAGATATTGTTTTCTCAGAAATGCCGTAACACATTTCAAGCTTAAAATATCAGATAAAGTGACGCGATAATAAATTACGTCACGTTTGGCGCGGCGAACGAAATTTATCGCTCGTACATCATGCGAAACATTGCTTCAGGTTTTCCCGCGTGCATGTTTATCCCGATAATCGCGTCGCGTCGCGCGTCGCCCTACGTCGCTTATCCCCCGAAAGCTGCCGCAATCTGGATCAAAGCCGTTGCAGGGAACGTGCGGGCCGGCTCGAGGAGCAATCCTTCTTGCCGGAACTGACGGGCGAACGTACGAGATTTCCTCGCCTGGCTGTTCTTCTATCCCGATCGTGTTCAACATCCGTCTCTCTTTTTTCCCCTCCCTGGGAAAGCGGGAAAACGAAAGCGCGCTGCAGTCCGGTCAGGATTCCGGGGAGAAAAAAAACCGTTCCAGGTTCATCGCGACCGGTGCCTCGTATCCGCGCGATTTATCCAGTCGCGGATTGCCTCCGTGGAAATCACGGCCGATCTAATTTGGCGCGCGCACGCGCGCTCCGACCCCCGACGGGAAAGCTTTATCTCCAGTTGATGGCACGATCTCGTATCTGGCCGATCTCTATCCTCCCCCCTCCTCCCTAGCCCTCCGCTCCGAGTGCGAATTCCGACTGGGGCATCTCTCTCGGCCGTTAAGTGTCGGGGAAAACAGAATTACGAGGTCTGGGAATATTTTTCAAGTACTCGCGCGACAACCCTCTTTCAACGACCCTCACATCTCCGTGGTCGATCGCGTTAAGTTACTTCGCGCACGTTAATTCGATCTCTCTTAGAATTTATCGCCCATTTTGATAGCCTAATTTCGAATAATTGCAATAATAATGAAGATGACGTAAACGTTATACTTAGCATTATATGAATAATTGTTTTTTTTTCTTTTGGCATCAAGAATCATTTTAAAAGGTTCCCGTTCGGCGAGGAATATTCCGCCGTTCCGAGCGTTTGTATCTCTTCGATGGGGAAAGATAAATTGTCTTACGCATCGCTTTGCTCGATTTAAATTCAGCACGGTGCATTCCGTTCATGAGGAGTTCCCTTTTTCCGCTTTAACTTTAGCTTTCCTTCTCGCAGTTCTTAACTATGACGGCTCGAATAAAAACGCGAGACACGAAAATGGCAATAAAATGGAATTTGATACGGAACCGTGGAAGAGGTATACTCGGCTTCTCTCCTTCCGCCTTTGTTCTCGCGAAACATTCCCCGCCCCTCCCTCCTCCTTCTCCTCCTCGCCCGCAATTACACTCGCGCAAAATACGCTGACTATTATTCCGTGATAAAGCAAACGTGTTTTCTCGAGTGTCATCCCGCGAACATTATTTCACAGGCATCCTTTCCCTCTGCAAAATATCATTTGTTTTGTTTGCGAGAGCATTCGCAAAAATCTGCGTATTTTACGCAGGAGAGAGAGAGAAAGAGAGAGAGAGAGAGAGAGAAACAGAGAGAAAGAGAAAGAAAGAGAATCCCGTTTTACAACCAGACCCAGCGATTTCTCAGCGGGAAAACTCCGATAATTTCTGTCGTTATAACACGCGTTTTTCCCCCCGCACACATACACACGTGCACACACGCACATCATGTTATTTACACAAATTTTTAGAGCGATCGTAAAACACGTAATCGCCGAAAATGATGATATCCACCGCCCGTGCTCGTTACGCGCGTGCATTCGCGCGTCGAGTTTCTAATGATTCCGCCCACGTTTGAGAATTCCGCGTGACGCTCATCGATAATTGTAGCAATTATAATTAGAACGTTCTCCCTTCCTTCCCTCCTCCCCTTCCCGCGGTCGTTCCTCTCGCGAATATAACGCCGTTTGCGGCGCGGGACGGATAACGGGTGGCACGGGCCGGATAAAATCCATTTTGCGTAATCCGTCATGTCCGCATTTATCCGTCATTAATTCAGCTGCGATTTTAATTGACAGAACAGCTACTATACGCCCGCTCGCCCGCGGCTTGTGCACAGTGTTTATATTATCGATTTTGCAGTACGTCCACCGACCATCGGACCCAGGCGATGAGCGCGCGGCTCACTCGCGTCTACTCGCGATTGATGCAATGATAACTATGTCTGTCTGCGTCGATAAACCGGAGAATGCGGATCGTTAAAGCGAGGCAAGCGAGATTGTACACGAAATTTCCGAAAATTCACGTAGCTTCGCATCAGATTGTGATGTAATCATGCCGTAAAACAAATACACGAACCATTCAAGTTCACATTTTAAGGCTTAGGCGCGTAATAAAAATTCTTCAGACATTGCAAAATCTTTTTTTCGATAATATTCTCCAGAATTATCAGTCTAGAGAAATTTTTTCCTGCTATAATTATTTTTATAAAAGTCTCAAGCTGTCTTTTCAAGCATATGATTTAACAAAATTATTTCTTTCTGCTATTTTCATTAAATTACGCATTCGGAAACTTTTAACGCAATTAAAAGATTTTTCGAAAGTGTTACAAACAAATTCTTCCTAAATGTGCGTCTAAAAATAGATCCCTTTTGGAAAATCTAGTAGATTCTTTTTGTAATCGAGGTATTATGGCAAACACTCTGTTAATCCTGTTGATCGCCATCGAAACGCGGAGCGAATTACCTTCGTTATTATATCGCCGTGGGGGATTTTATGATATTTTCCTCCGGTGTATATAATGGCGGTTTAATCAGCACGGTATCGTGCGTGTGTCACGTACAGGGTGGTCCAAACACTTGTTACGAGACGATCGATCAGCCGCCCCATTCGTATTCTTTCCGATTCGGAAAGTAATACGAGGGCGACGAGTTGGAAGATCGCCCACGCGCTTGTTACACGGGGCCGCGCATTTTTTCAAATTTGGCCCCGTTTCGCCAAATAAACGACGCGATCGTTTCGCGACACTCATTAAAGTTCCCTCTTCCCTCTCTCCTTTCCACCCCCGCCCGGGGATTCGAAGGGGTTTTTTTGACGAAATGAAAATGCAATGTCCTATGCGTAATGGATGCTTCATGTTTACAATCATCTTTTCGCATTAGCGAATTCGTGTGTTCGCAGGGCGAAGATCGGCACTTAAAAGTATCAGGAATGAATAGCATATCGACGATGATAATTTCAGGATCCATTTGGCGCGACTCGGCGCGCGCTCATCCCGATCTCCTCCCCCGAAGCCTCCGAAGTTTCCGTATAATCGGGTGAACGTCGGGCGTAACGGGTACCGGGGGCACTCTCCGCCTCTCTATCGCGCAATCGAAATCTCCTTTTCCTTTAAATAACGCACTTTTCGCGTAAAGTTAATGGCGTTTAAAAATTCAAGGCTCATTCGCCGCGCTTAATCCGTCTCATCGGTCGCGGCCGCGCCGGAGGGTTAATGCCGCTCTCAAAAGCGCCGCATTAAATGTTTATTGTTCGTCTACTCAAAGGCCACTTCGCCTAGTCGTACGGCTAGTTTCACGAGGTTAACCTAGCGGGAAGCCAGCGACGGCACCGCAGAGAGGGTAGGCTAAAACCGGAGTCTAGTTTCGTTCGGTGGTGGCCACCGCCCGACCCCGGCAAGTGCCCATCCCTTCTGAATATTTTAGGAAGTACGCGCGCGCGTATCCCTTCCCCCCCCCCTCACGCCACATTATATCGGGCTCGAAGCCTCCGGTGGACCCCGAGGCGAGCGTGTACATCCCGAAGTACAGATACACTCGCGATTAAATTCGTATGTGCGTCTAGGGAAACCGTGACTCTCGGGGAAAATTGTAAAGAGCAGCCGGAAAACACACGCGGCATCAAAGAGCGCGTCGAGGAAATCCGTGCCACGAGCTCGCGGATTTTCCTGCGATATCTGTCCATAAAAATCGACAAGATCGCGTCTCCGAAATTGGCTGATCAAATTTCCCTTCGTGCATTACGGCACGGACTGTTCCAAAACGCCCGATTACTTCGGAACTGATTCTTTTCCGATGATTTATGGCAGAACAGATTCTACAATCCTAAGCCCACTCGCTACACAGTTTGGGACTTTTACGCTCGCTGTTATTGTCATTACGATATATGTCTAAGACGTTTCTCGTTTCTAAAATCGAGATTTCGCGAATTGAGACGGGAATGCTTACATCGGTTTATCCGGCAAATCGTATTCGGCGGCCAGTCGCAGATCCTCCAGCGCGAAATGGTACTCTTTGAGGGCCACAAAGATCTCGGCTCGTCCCAGCAGCGCCAGGGGCAACGAAAGACCCTGATCGACCGTCTTGTTTCTACCTGAGACAGATATTGTCGATAACGTGTGATTTGGGAAAATATCGCTGCTCTCGAGCGTCGAGCCCCGCTCATCGATTACCTTTGCGAACGCGAACAATTTATCGGCACGAAGCCAATGAAGCCATGAAAGCGCGGGGCCGGTCTTTCGACCGGTTGACATATATATGTATGTTTCCCAGGATGCGCGCGATGAGTAAGATTCAAGTAATTATTCCACTTGTTGTGTAGATCTGGCGCGACGCCATCCAGAGCATATACGCAATCGGCTGATCGACGCGTATTTTAGACCTACGCGCGCATTCATATGGAAACATTAAGATATTCTGACTTGAAAAAAAAATCGGATGGAGCTCGTATGTAACGCGTAAATATTATCAACAAACAAACCTTTGACTCGTCAGCACAAATCATCGCTTTAACATAAATCTAATTTAATTAGCAATTAATAATTAAATTAAATAAATAGCAATTACATTATACTTGTAGTAAATAATAATTATATATGATTTAATTAAACATTCGTAGCGACGCGCCATAATTATTGGGTATACAACATAAGTATATATATTTGTTTTACATTAGCACAAAACTAAGCACAAACTCGACGATCGTTGACTAGCGATCCGTTTTAATAATCTCTAACAATTTAATTGTATCAATCTAGCGCACTCGCTATAGTGAAACATCAATTATTCGGACGAGCCGCGAGACAGTGATATATCTGTTGTCCCATACAGAACTTTCAGAAAGAAAAATGTAAACGAGATATTAAAGGCTGCAGTATAAGCGATGTAAGTAACGAGATGTACAGCTAATATAAGTTATAAATTTTTTTCTCCCGTTCGAGATAATGGATTTTCTCTACTGCATTTGTAGTGACCTGGTTGAGGGGCGCGCAGGACAGCCTGACTGAGCAGCAAAAGGGCCCTGTCATGTTCGCCGACGGCGGCGAGCTGGTATCCTTCGAGTCGCCTGCGCCTGGATATCTCCGCGTCCTTGTCTCTGTAAAGGGGCTTCACCTTTGCGAGCGTGTCGGCGACGACGTCTTTTACTTTCGCGTCGGCGAAGACCGCCCTCACCCGTCCCTCGTCGTCATCGATCCGGCCGAACGTCCCCGACGTCCAGGTATCGCCCGCGGTTTGCATCACGTGGCCGCTAAAATCGTGGAAGAATCCCTTCCTGCCGGAGCGCAGCGTCTCCGACGAGCAGAGGGTCCTGTAAAATTCATCCTGATCCTGCATTCTTGCGCACGGAAGGACGCCCGGCGCGCGGCGTGCCGGCGTACCCGTGGAAGTCCTTTGTGCCGCGTTCCTCCTCCTTCCCCCACGGCTCTAGCTCCTCGCGCTCCGTTAACGAGATCCTGTGTATGCGAGCGAATCGCCTTTACGACAGGCTGAAATACGGCCCGTCCGTTTTTATATCGCAGATTAGTGTACCCACTTAGTCCGTTACGATTGCGTCGCTTACATAAGTCGACTTTCCTTTCCTTCCATTCTAGTCCATTTTATTTTTAAGATACAGTTTTATATATATTTTTCCGCTGCTTATTACCCCCCTCCTCCCCGCCTTCCTGTCTTTTTGCAGACGTCCTTTTTTGTACGCGCGGGAGAAGAATTTATCTTTTAAGATTTTTATCTTAATTTACCTCTCAGTTATTACGCTCTTATTCGGTATCCCAGCAGTTTTCTTAATACTTTCTAGCTAATTATGTTTTGATTAAATCTTCTTGCATATTTCTACTTTTGTGAGAGAGGTGAATTTCTCCGGAATACAATCAATTCCCTTCTCTCTCTCTCTCTCTACTTCTTTGCGCGCTGCAGTTGTACCGATGTACCGACTAGAAGTCCGCCTCGTTACTCTGGATGCTGCATCCTTCCCCTCGACCGATCCTTTTGAATATTACAGAAGCTACGTGTTTCGGTATTTTGTATCTGCCGTCGAACGCGCGCACAACTACGTTCCGCAAACTCTTGGGATTAAGAAGAAACAGTTACTAGACGACGCAATTCGCTGAGAGCAACGACCGGAATATATATATAGAAGCTGCGCGTATAGGTATTACGTCTCGGCAAGAACATCGTCAGATACGCGCGCGATTCGCAATAATTTTGCACAAGCTGATTTTCGAACGGGGGAAATGCGCGCGAGTCCGAAAAAAAGTCATTCCCGCCGTACTGAATCATAAAAGACCCGTGAACCGGACGCGCGGGCAGATTCCTATTCTCTCGTCTCGAGTCCGCGGAATTAAACGACTCTATTCGGCCGTGAGAAATAGCCACTCGGGGATTCTCTATCAAGAAGCGGCGAGACCCGAATTTAAAAGGACTTCCTCCTTTCACCGGGCGAGATCCTCCTTCGCAAATTGGTCGCTGCTGGAATATCGGATGAACGCCGTATTCTTTCGTTATCACTTCTACTTACGTTTGCCAAACGAAGGTGCAAAACGGCAAAATTAATATCGATTACCATCTTAATCACGTATTTGGAAATCCAATCGCGCTATACAAATCAAACAATCGAACGTACGTTTGCGTATAATTATAATGAACAAGTACATTCTTCCGATGATCCGACGGCATCGAAACTTTTACTCGTCGAAATCACATCGGTTTTAATTTTTCCAGCTTTCGATACCGTCCACCGCCTAAACGCTTGAGTGAAGTTCACTTGAACGGCTCGTTTGACTGCCTTTTACGCAAACTTTTCACTTCTCCTCTTCAACCATTCTGAACCTGCGTCCCGATTTCTTTCTGATTCCCTTTTCGCAGTTTTGGAGCACTACGACGACCGCCGCCGCCGTGGCCGAGGGACACCCGAGTGCATACGGAATGACTGAAACGGATTACCGACCCGGCCCGCCATCCACCCTCTCTCTTCGTCCACCCCGGCGAGTAAAACTTTAAAGATCCTCAACCACTCTCATTCACCGCGAAAACCGCACTACCCGGGGATTCCTCACGTCTCTCGCGCCCGGCTCGATGCTTTATGAGGGGTTTACTTTATAGACACGAACGAGGTATTAGGACGGAAGACCGGTATTAGACTGAAGACGCCGCTAGAATGCCGGACGAAAGGGAGGGACAAATATACGAGAGAGGAACGAGGATAGAACGCACTTAAGAAGCTCCCTCCCCGCTTCTACTACTACTACTACTCTCTCTCTCTCTCTCTCTCTCTCTCTCTCTCTCCCCCTCTTTCTCTCTCTCGTACGCTATGTCTAGAACAGCTAGAGAAATAATTTTAGACACGTTCTATTTCGATCGTAAACGACTTGCGAGACGCTTACGCCTCATTGCAGAATCCTCTGGCTTCGTCCGTTCGCAAGTGTCGAGTAATCGTGAAACGCCACGAAAAATTTCTCGTCGATAACGACATTCTCGATCTCGGCTCGTCGTCCGATCCCCCCCTCCCCTCTCGCCACCGCATCGCCTCCTTTTTTCGCCGTCGTTCCGTGCGGTCTTATACGCCCGGCGCGACGTCGCCTCTTGAGTCGACGCAGAAATCCTACCACTCCCGATATCCGCCCCCGTCACTGTCCGTGTTCCACCACCATAGAGCCCCCATTATAGCCCCGAGAAAATTTATCGCCGAACGTCCTTGATCTCCTTCTCCCCGCCTAGCCCCGCCGACCTCACCTGTGCTCGCGGTGGAAAGTACCTGGATTCAAGTAACTCGTAAATCGAACTAGCCGTGTAATAAAGTCGTACCGTGACATTTCCCGCTCTTTCGTAGTTTCCGCACCTTGCGACTTTTTGCTATTGTGCGCCGAGCGAAATCTTCGAGTTCCCGTGTGCGAGACGTTCTTACGTGACTTTCCCCTCGGCCACTTAATGGTGAGCTAGATCCGACATCGTCTCGGCGGTAAATCTCAGTTCCCCCGAATTTTCGTGTGAACTATGTAATTGTAACTATGCGAATAGCAAATATTTTGGTGTCTTGTTCTTAGATTAAAATATCACAAACTCGCGCCATTTATCTCAAATTTTGTTTTTCAAAATTTAATGTAATGTATAAAACGTTTTTATAAATTTGAAATTTATAACTTCAGAGTATCGACAGAAAGAAAATTTTTAAATTAACAATTTAAATTTTTTTAACGTTTTTTTTAACGTAGAATTTAAAACCATAAATTTAATTTTTAAAAAATTAAAAATTCTGTATTACATTTTTTTTACAGTGAAATTTCCCACGCACTTTTGCATATTATTTTTTAACAACAGATTTTTCAACCGCGATATGATATTTACTCTTCTCAAATAAATACGTTATAATATGTCTTTAATTATTTAATAATAATTACAAAAAACAAACTCTCATTAGGTTTGTAGAAACAAATGGATAAGAAAATTAGTAATAATATTTATCGCAATATTGTAATTATTATAAGATTCTAATATAACTATGACGTTTAATTAATTTCAAACAACCTGTTTAATTGTTTTAATTGAACTCTCGGCTAACGACACATAATGTTAAACGGGAAAATTGCAAAAAAATAACCTTTCTCTCCTGACATATTTGCTAAAGTAAACTGGACTCTATTTCGAGAGAAGATTCACAATGGGAAAATAGAGCCGTTGAAGAGAGAGACACTCTATGTAATTTCTTAATTAGTTCCTTCGTAACTTTTCCTTGCACCCTGCTTAAAGTATTTCGAGCACGTTTTAAAACGAAGTCCGGTACAGCCCCGCCGGGGTCATCCGACCCGAGAGAATTTGTACACCGCACCGACGCGGACGGTTCCCTATTCCTTGAAAACGATAAAGTATCGATGCTGCTCCTCTGATGAAATATCGACACTTGACTTTTTGGAGTAAGTGGAACCTTTCGCGCGGTAACGTCATATGAAATTCCCGGAGGACCGTCGGCAGTTGTATCGATTTAACGTCCGACCACGTATGCCCCGTTAGTTGTCACATGCGTGTCAGGTGCTCGCCTTATCTATTCGCAATCCCGCTCATATTCTTCTCCGGGAGCATATGAATTTTTCAGTATTGTCGTCGCGAGATTCCTCCCTTGTCCCGCCGCCCGCCGCGAGGGAAGTGGTAAAAATTCTCCGCGGGGAAGGGCGGGGATGCCGGGCGCGCCTGCATTAAATATTATATCCCAGATTTTCCGTTTCTGCCAGCGTTATATTTCGTAATCGCGAATTCCTCAATCAATTTGCGCCCCCTTTCGCGTCCCGCGAAGGAATGTGACCGCGCCGGTCGTCGTTTCTCTCCCGGAAACTGATCGCAAACCGAGCGATAAACCGGAGGAATATAGCGTGATAAACGGCGATGCCGCTGCTAATGTATTCAATTGTCGATGCAAACGGGCTTATTGAGTTAAAAAAATATGTCCTGTGTCATGATCCTATTACCTTCTCGCCCCCCCCCCCGTCCAATCGTAAGATAAAAGCTTCTTCCACCAAGATGCACCGTAGATATTAAATTCTGCGGGCAATCGCTCTTTTTTTTACTCCTTCTTTTGAAACACCGATTCTCGTGCGGCGCAGTCGTTTCTCGTGCGTGTTCTCTTTTTTTCCCCAGTAGGAAACGCTCGCTGACGGCATATCTTGCCGGGGGCTCGCGATAATCGGGTCGATTTATGAGCCAAGATGGGAAGTTATCGCGGTACCGGGCAAAGCAAAACGCTGGCAGCTTTATCGGCCTCGAATCCTCTCTTCCCTACGAACCCTATGGAACTCCTAGGAAGAACGTTTCGAGTAGATTTATCCGCCCGCGCGCGCTCGGCGTCGTTAATAATTGATACATCTGTTAACACGCGCGCCATATTTAACTGCGCGAGATAACGGCGATACCGTAATCACGCGTTAAACAGGACGTTCGCGTGCGATACATGCGCCGGAACGAAGCCCCTCGCCTTAATTCGTAGTTAAGTTCCCGGCGGCCGTTTAATTCGTACAGACGCTAAATGGCGTACCTTCTTTTCTCTCTTTTTTTTTTCTCCTTCGCCGGGTAAGGCAGGCCATTTCGCGTGTTGGGGCAGAAATACGCGGCTGATTCGCGTAATTCGAGCAAATTACACAATAATGCCGGCGGAATATTCGCCGAGGGATCTTAATGGTATTTTTATCGACTTTCCTTCCAACGCTCCGCGGCGACACTGGGCGCCTTCGGTGCGGCCGTCTGTAAAAAAAAAAGAGACAAAAAAAGTGGGGTCTACCGCGTGGGGAAGAAACCCCTTCGCCCTTCACGCACATTAAGGGACCATTTTTTTCTTAATGAACCATGTACTA